CCTTAAGACAGGTTGACTTTCCTGACAGCTATCTCCAAAAGAGTAGAAAGAGGGAGCCCAGAAGACTGAAAGTCCCATGAGTGACACACATGAAAAAGCAACAGTTTTTAAATGCCTTCTGTTAGAGCTGGTAGTAAATTAACTCTTGCTTTTACTACTAGGCAGCAAATGGGGAATAAATTTTTCCAGATGAATTAGGACCTTGTTTAACTTCCAGAAGAAAAATGAAGAGTTCTAGAAAAGCTGATGGACTGAATTCAACTTTATGATGCAGAAAAACAAGCTGTTAGCTTACAGAAATAATACCCGTGTGCTGTCATGACTTGTTCACTACTTGTCTTCAGGCACTGAGTATTTGTATTGGGAGATCATGTTGGGTCTACTGCCAGTGTCAGTATTTCCTTTATTTACTTTTGATCTTTCATGTGTTTGAACTATAATGCCTGACAAGTTATATCACAATCGAATTGGAGTAAAGGCTGATTAACAAGAAATGAAGAAAAAATGAGGGTCAGCAGTGTGGGAGGGAAAGCAACGATAGGCCAAGACTCACTGAGGAATGCAGAAAACACAGGCAACAGAGGAGGCAGGGAGTTAGTAACAGATGGTGTTAGGGGCTGCCACAGCCTTGGTGGGCCCTCAGCTGCCATCAGCAAAACAGAACTGTTTCTTGTGCCAGTGCAAACAAAAATGTCACACGGCTGTCCTTGCTTCCAGTGCCTTTGGGCATGTCTGGTGGGTGGCTGGAGCCCACTGGTTGTGTCTGCAGGCAGCTCCAGACGGGGATTGTATAGCTGTGTTAGCTTGATCCCATGTCTGCCTTTCCACAGAGTTTGTTTGCTTGAGCACAGCGCTGGGCTTACACTTCTGCCCATCACGCATCTCTGGATTGACTTGCATCCGGAGACCTTTGAGCACAGGACAGACAAGTGTTGTATACGCTGCCACAGCTACACAGGGCTCTTCAGTTTCCCCCAAGCCAGTGTAGCCCATTTTTACCTGGCTTATCTGAGGGGTGATTTGGATGAAAACCCATGGGGCAAGTTCATTCCTCTTGCTACCTTGAGAGATGCAGTGCTGCTTTACTTTTGTTCTAAATGACAAAGCAAAGGGTCAGGAAATGGTGTAGCCTCTTAAAGTATTAACAAATGAAGGAATAAAGAGGTACTGTGATTAAAAGGATGAATGAAAGAATCTCCTGCAATCTGTAATGGGAGATACCACTAGAAGAAATAGGTTTAGTTTCCTCTGACTGTGTGCCAGTATCTTTATTCCTCTTGTTTTATTTCTGTTTTCCCAGGGAAATGTTGTAAAGAGGAAGTTTTTCTTTTAACTATATCAGACTGTTAATAACCTGGGAGTAATAACGTGGAAACTGTTGTTGGGCACTTTCAGTGCCACTTCCACATCTTTCAAATGAAACATAACAGAGCCAAATTTTCTTCTTTATGTTGTCAGCTAAAGAATTAGCCAAGGAAAGAAAAATATTTCCCTCTTTTCAAAAAAAGAGCTGAAATAAAAGAGGTGATGAGAACTTTATTTCATTTGGTTTCTTTTCTCAGCTGAGAATTCAACTTTTATTAAAGTATTAAAACAAAAGAATAATCTCTTGCAGTGGGCAGTAAACATTCTCCACTTGAGTCTCCTTCACTTTACTGTGGTTTGCACTATATTATTTGGCATTGAAAATTATGAAAAGTTCCTCCACTTCCTCAGTTTTAACCTTCTCAGCCAGTGTTGTTCATTTTATACTGAAGAACAACATTTCAAGTTGAAGAGCAAACTCTGTCCTAAGAATGCTGCCAAACTGCTGCTCAGCTGTTCAAGTCCCATCTGCCAATGAGACTTAGACCCAAATACTTGGCTTTTCCTTTTAAGGTCCAAGACTTACTGCACTTTTCTTGGTGCATTAAAACACTGCAATGTGTAGACACCTCACTAGGCAGCAAGTGCTTCTCCTACCCTTCTTGGTATTCTCACACTGTGCATTTCTGCATCAAAAACTAACAGTGAAGCACTCAGAATTCCTGGATTTTACATAGCCGAAGGCAAACCTTGTATCCTGAAGTGGATGCCCAGCTGACTTGACACTGAATGTATTTCAGCACTAAGACTAGCTGTACTGAAATAGGCTTTGTATAGTTGTTGCCAGGTAATTAACAAAACTCTAGGAGCATTAACAAAATGTGCCACAAACCCTGGAGAAATCATGAGATGTGTTCTGCTCCATCTTTTAAATATTCCTATATGCCACAGATACCTTAATGCCCTCTTATAAGAACTGAACTGGATGCATCAAAAACAATATATCATTTTAGAGGTTATAGGATTTTAGCAATGAGCACCTTTTTTGATTTACTCATGTGTAGATTTGCAGAATGTAATTGTTTCGTGTCAGAGCTGTGTAAGTAGCATAACAGCATGTGATCAAAGAGAAGATATGTTTTCCTAATGCTCAGCATGTCAGGACAGAGAAGTGCAGATTTAGATTATGTTTTGCTGCATCTTATTCAGTTTTATAATGTTTTTAGTAGTTCAGAATTAGCCAGATCTGAGTGGCTAAATGAAATTCAGTGGCCAGAATATTAGAAATCAGTCTTTTTCATATGCCTGCTTTGATAAGCAGACATAGCAAAATCTAGGCTTTCTGCTGCAAACAACACTTGGAGGCCATATATAGGAGAGGGGTTAATAAAGATGTAGAGCTGAGTTGGAAGTACTAGGTTAATATTTTCAGAAATACGTTCTTAAATCTTAAATATAAATACATATTTTTTCCTACTATAATGCTAGATACATTTTAAAATATTTCTTGCTTATTACTACCACTTTATTTTATTTTATTAAAAAAACCAAAAACTATACCTCCACTGTATCTACACTACAGAAGTTCTTAACATTTATTTGTACAGACTTAGATTTGGAACTTCCAAGACCAATAGTTCGACCATTGAATCCAGATGCAGGGACTTGGCCTTGCTTTTGTAATTGTTTCTGTTATAAACCTAAAACCCTATTTCAAAGTTCGGAATCTGGTTATAAAAAATACTTCCAGAATACAATTTGGCATCTAAGATATCAGTCAAGAAACACTTACTGCTAGTTTGATTTCAGTGTGACTTTTTGAACTTACAGATGTGCCTTGAGAGTTTTATCCATGCTTTCAGACATTGTAAAGATTGTAAATACCTTTGAATAGCAAATGGAAATCATCACGCTGTGTTTTGGAATGATAGAATCATCTTTAGCTAAAAATACCATAAAACTCTAAATGGTCATGAGATTTTTCCTAAATATTAAAGCAGTTACTTCATAGCAGGCTTGCACTAAGGGTAAATTGCAGCCTTACAATGCTCGAGTGAACATGTTTTCACCTAAGGAAAGGGAGAATTATCCAGCTTCCTCAAGCATAGCAGCTACACTGTGAATAGTTAATGAGATAAGCTGCTGATTCCAGTTATAGAGTGAAATATTGGCTTCTGTCTTTTTCGGCTCATTACAGATAAACTGAGCCAACCCCAGCAGGCTTCTCTTGTGTCAGCTTGTTTGAAGACTGCATGAAGAATAACTTCTCCACACTTGGGGAATATGAAAATTTTGTCAAAAACTTGTCAAGATCTTTTATGGATTGTAGAGCCTGAACAACCCAGGGGCATGGATACCCTTGGCTCTTGGCCAAGGCTACAAAATCAGCCCTACAGGCAGGGAGGTCTCTTTTAATCAGAATCTTGCCTCTTTACAGGGGTGGTTAAGTAAGGTGGTGAAGCCCACTTGGCCTGCTGAATTGCCTCCTCTTGGCACACACTGAATTGCACCTGGAGCAAAGAAGGAGCTTTCTGGTATCACTGTATTTTATAACCTCTAGCTACTGAAACAATCCTATAAAAATGCTTTTAAGTCACCTTACTGAGTGTGGCTGACCAATAAGCCCTTAAAGTGAGAGAAGGCTCAGATATGGACAAGGACAATGCCACTTTGAAGTTCAGCAAATGATGCAAAGTAAGACTGACCCCAGATGTTGCAAAGAAACTAACTTTATCTCAACACAAAGGAGGACTGAGGGGTGACCAGCTATATCAACAGTTGAGTTTTTTGAGCTCCCTGAGTTCCTTAAAAGAACGTGAATGACTTCCTGAGTTAGGCTGACCAGCACAAGGGGAGTGAATACATAGTTCAGTCCAACAGAGAGTATAAAAACTAGACAACTAGTAAAATAATTTTGAAGAAAGTAATGGGCTTGACCTGTGAGAATAATGAGTTTTAGCTGTGAAGTAAAACGACTCCACATCTTGTGAATATCAAGTATAGAAGTCAGATATGAAGAGCCCTTGCTGCCAAACAGGCTCGTTGCATTTTAAGATTTTCATAAGAACTGCTTCTTTCTAGTGAGTTTCTTTTTCAAGGAAGAGCTAATAAAGAATTGGATGGATTTTGAGCTTGCTTGGAGCAGGGGTGCCTAGCATTAGTGTTCTCCAGTTTGTGCGACTGAAAGTTCCATGCTACCTCTCAGAGATCAAATAGTCTCTGGCATATTAAAATTTATGAAGAGAAGTTAGATGTGTTATGGTGTCTCCATAGTGGAAAATAATTTGGCTGAAGCTTTTAAGTCATATTTAGACATTCAGATAAAAGTTAAACTCATTTTTTTAAGGTTCGTTTCCACTTTGAACTAAGAAAATCTTTAGACTTCATCCTTTTGTGAAGACCAGATACACAACATTCTGGACTGGGGTGCTTCACACATCAGTGTCTGAAGCTGTGGATTTTCTTTCTCAGCTGATATTTTTGGTGTTTGGTTGTCTGATTCTAACAGTAATGCAATTTCTATGATGTAGGTTTTAAACTAAGTTGAAAAACAAACTGAGGCTGTCTGAATGAAGTTGTTTTGTGAATTAATGAATACGTTATTTTTCCTTGTTCTGTTCAATTTCTCCCAGAATCACGGGACTTGCTGGGCTGGAAGGGACCCACAAGGATCATCAAGCCTAACTCTCAAGTGAATGGCCCACGTGGGGATGGAACCCACAGGATTGGTATTATTAGCACCATGCTCTAAACAAGTGAGCCAATTAACATTTTCCTGTTCTGAAATCTCGACAATTTTCTCATGGAGGTTCTGAAAGCTGGGGGACAATTTTAGCCAACCAGCAATAGATTTATTGTTCACCAATAGCTTTCATAGACATAATTTAGATACATCTGAAGATTAATGAAGCACAAGATTGAAAACTAATAATGTAGTTATTATGAACAATTAAAAAAAACTTTAAAAAAAACTATTTTCAAAGATTTTTATAAAGCCTCTGGTATTTCGATTTTACAGATGTCTGATGTCCAAGGTACATGCCAGTGGCAGTACATAAAAATGGACATGACCTCTTGCATGCCAGCTTAGTTGAACCTTTGTTAAACTATCTTGCAAGTCACCTTAATACAGCAGGTATTTTTAGACAGTACAGTGAATGTAAAGGAAATAATGTTACAATACACTACTGTTAGAAGGTAGTCTAGTACAGGGATGCTGAAACTAAGAATTGTACTAAAACATAACCAAAATTCCAAGTCTGTAGAATTTTTTCAGGCAAAACATTGGATTAAGAAGTTTGGAGACAGAGACAGTGAAGAGTCAAGCAGGATAATATTCAAGAAGAATAAACAGAGAATAAAACTCCAGTATATTCTATTGTGATTTTAACTCAGCAAATAGGAAAAAGAACATAAGAAATGGAGGAGAAGGATGTGTACAGGGCAGGACAACAGTCATCCATATGATTTTGCATTGCAGCATGAAAGCAGCATTCCAACTGACTGGAAATTTTTAACATGAATATTGCTTCCATGGAACATGTTGATTTGCTGAAACTGCAGGAATGAAGACATATTTCATGGATTAAAATTGCCCTGCCTGGCTCCTTGGTAGAGTCCCTCCTTCAAGCTGCAGGATCATCAGCAGACCACCCGGAAGGAAGCCTTGAGAGGCCTGATCTCCCCAGCTTCCTTTGCTTTTTGCAGCTTACTTGATAATATGTCAGGTTTTTTTGATTCTGGTGCTTCTGAGAGCAATTAAGGGTCCAAAGCTCACCAGGCCTATGGCAGCCCACCTGCAATATAAAGCCTTTGGCTATTATAAATTGGTACTGGAAAAATTTATGGAAAAAATCAGTGGTTTTTTCTTGGACTTGTAAATCCATTTCCTTGCCTTTTCAAGTACCTTTTTTTATTTTTTTCCAAGAGATATGAACTGAAAAGTCAGACTGTAATATTTAGAACACTTAAAATATTTTTGTGATATAGAAAAGATCAGTCATTCCCTACTTCCAGGTCCTCATCCTGAGGGACCTATATGTACCCATCACTACTACAGCTGGCAGTCATGAGAAAAAAGCCAAAATCATAACCAAACCCAAAGTAATTAAAGCATCATAGAATATTTTAGTTTGAATAGACCCCAGTGTGGATTCCTTAATTTTTAAACTTCTTTCCATAAACATTTCATTTTAGAAGTCAAACCTGATTAGTATCATGGTTTGTTCTTTTTTAATACTCAGAAGCTTGAAAGAAGAAGCTTGAGTATCTTAAATTTTTTTTTCCTAAACTCTTACAGATTTCTGATTGTTTGCTGGTGAAATCTTGTCCCCATTAAAATCAACAAAAATTCAATTATGGCTTCAATACATTCAGGATCACCTCACTTTAATACGAATTTGTTGTTGTTATGGCTGAATAGCTCTTAACTTCTGTTTTTTGTCATGTTTTTATTTATTTTTTTTAAAGACGGGAATATGGTTCAGATATAATAGGCATGATTAAGCTTGTCAACAAATCCATGTTTTGGAATATCTGTTCAATGATCTTCTCCCTGTGAATCTGTTCTATTGCTTAATGGTACAGTGTTCTCATATGTGTAATGTACTTGGTGATTAAATTCAGCTTTTAATAAGGTATGTATAATCTGAGTGATCAGATGGGTCCAGTCCAGTCCCTTTTCTCTTCTTCTGTCTAGTTAAGTACCAATTCATTATTTTGAGAAGTATATATTATCTGAGAGGAAACTGGGGAATTGGGAAGTGCAGGGGAAGGAAGGAAGCTTTATTCAAACACATGCACATTAAAAAGACAAATGACAGGGGAGCAGCTGTGATTTTTTAACATTTAATGCTCTTTTTCAAGGAGATGGCTGCTTAGGAAAGGTGAATAGTCCATAAATTTAATGGAAACCAAATATAAGCTGAGTATGATGAGTTGTGAACTTTAAGGATATCACTGGGTGTTCATTGAACATTGCTGAAACATGGGGAATAACTGAATCAACTTTTGACATACATCAAGTAGTTACCTTCTCATGGTTTTCTGTTGAATGATATCACAGTGGTATTTTGCATTCTCTCTTCCGTGGTACATAGTTCATATTGGACTATGATGCAAAACCTGTACATTTTTTTCCAATCTAGACTCACCTTCAGTGTGATATTTACATGCAAGCACCCAACTTTGATTGCTCTTCAATGCACTGCTGAGAAGAGGTGAGGACAAACACTTCTGTTTCCTCTGCATTTCCTCTGATCCCTCATGAGTTGGTGGATCAAAGTCTTGCTCCTGTATTGCAAGTACACTGGATCTGGGAACAATGGGCCATGCAACAGTGCATATTATATGACAGATTTCCAAGGGCCACCTCTTCCTGTGCTCTGAGCCCTTCGTCCAGTGATGCCTCATCTGGGCATGTGTTTTGAAATGGATAGGTTCCAGGTTTTGCCATAGTTACCCTTAATCTTAAAACTTCTTTGTGTCTGTCTTTAAAGACAAAGTTCTGTGATTCCATTGCACTTGGATACTAGTTGTGTCAACTGCATACATTATATGCATTAGATACTCCATTTTGATTTTAAAAAATGAACCACCTCTCTTGCTGTGTTTTAGATCGTAGCTGGTCTTAAAAATTACACAGAACTGCATGGAAAATAAAGCAAAAGCCAATTACCTCAGGATATAAAGGAAAGGAATATAAAGGAAAGGAAAGTGTAATGGGGTAGTTCAGAGAACAACTTAAAAACCAATTCGGGTAAGAAATATTTTTAATCCAAGTATCTAGAGGTAATGTACCAGAAATAAACTGCTTTATAAAGCAACCAGCCATTGTGTCATTTCTTGATCATCAGACAGAGAGTTAAATTATCTAGATGGGATGCAGAGGGCTGTGGAATTACACATTGCTTTCTTCCAAAGTATATGAACTCCCTGTGTTATGACTTTCTTGAGAACTTATGCATTATGGTTAGGTCACTTTCTGGACTTTTTTAGTTTTCTTGTGAAGGAAAAACTAATCTCACAATGACAAAGAAGTTCCATAGCACACAGTCTGGATTTTATTAGGTACACATTACTACTGTTTCCTGATACTGCTATTCAGTATAATTTCTGCACAAAGTTATAAGCAATAGTGTGACACAGCATCACAACATGCCCTCAGAGCAATTTTATAGATAGCACACATAGGCACAATTTAAATGCAGTGACCCCATAAGAAAGCACATGTTAATAAGAATCTGGTTCTGTATCCACTCAAGTTAGTGGCATAATTATCAGCCACTTAGGTAAGTCAGAGTCATGGCTATGAAGTTGCCAATTCTTTTTCCAATAGAAATGCATTTCATATGAAGGAAATTAACTAAGCAATTTGGTTTTTACTGCAGATGGAAGATAGACTGTATATTACAATAATGCTGCAAATAGACATCTAATGTAGCTAACATTAAACAACAGAGTATGACTTGCCTTACCTTGGCTGAGTTATCCTGTTCTGTCCTGTCCTACCCTACAGCAACCTAACTTCTTCATGTGCAGACTATGAAGCTCACTCTTCTTTTCAGTTTGACCAATGATGTCTTTTCTATTTGATAGGGAGCATCACAGAACAGGGATTATCTGCAAAAATAAATGTCATCAAAAGCAAAATGTGAGAATAAAATGAAAATAACATTATTTTTTTTTCTCTCAGTCTTTTTGACCACACAGTCATGACTTTTCTGCTGAATGTCCTCCTTCTAGGAGAATTAGACTGAAATGAAAGCCCTGAATGAGTGTACCTCTATCAAAATTAAACATTGTCTATTCCAGGATATAGTTTTTTAGAAGACTGGAAAGATGGGAATGTTTAAATATATTAATCTATTTGCCTAAGAATGATAAAAACAGGCAACATACAATGCTGGTTTTTTAATGAGAAGCACATTCTGGTGGCATCACATCTCTGGGACTTGGGTCTGTGGCAGCAGGGGCTCCCTTGAGGCCTCTGGTCTTAGCCTGGTGTGCAAATTTTTATTGCCCAAACGCTGACCTGGCTAGATAGCTGTTTTCAACAGGGGATCAAAGCAAATTGGTTGCAGACAAATTTTGCTGTGAAGGGTGTGTTCTCCTTCTTTTCCCTCTCCTTCACTTAAATTCACATACAGGATATGTTCACGAGCAGCTGCAGGCAGTTATGAATCTGTTTTGCCCATGCCCTGGGACAGCCAGATAGAGCAACCTGGAATTAACAGCTGTGCACGTCAGCTCATGCCCAGCACTATGCTAACACAGTTGTTTTCCAAATTTATACAACCACGTTAAAGACTGTGCGGTCTGGGCACATGTCCCCCAGGGAGGCAGGCTTGTGGCTTCATGACAGAAATCATTTTTATGCTGTGAGGATCTCCTCCAACAGGATTACTTTGCTAGACCAGGACACTCATCTCTGTTTTATGGGCATAAGAGACAGATTTATAAGTGCTGCAATCTGCTTTGCTTTTTAAATTTTTACTTATGCTTCCTCCTAAGCTGTGACACTAATTGCTTTGGGACAGTTTTCATCTAACAAAAGGACACATTTCAAAGATACTCTACAGCTTTTCGATCCAGCTAGAATGAAAGGGTCCATGGGCCTCACACAACAGAGTAGTTCGAGATACCTTGGCATGCTGATTGTACAAATATTATCATTTAATTAAATGAAGTTAATGTTCATGTCCTGTAAAAGATTTTGTGCCATTTAAAATTATTCAAATAAATACCAACTAGGAATTTTTCCAT